CCTTTTCATTTTTCTGTAAATGTACTTTTTTGAGTTCTTTAAGTAAACATCATAAAAGAAGACTTGGTTTCAGTCGTGTGATTCAAATACTGGTTGTTGGACAAACTGCAAAGGTGGTACAACGAACTCTTGGGACGCAGAGTGCCACTACAATGTTCTTCTTAGACCTTCTAATGAGCCATAATTTGATCCAGGTGCCAGCATCCTAAAACATGCAGGATGCCAGCCCTCGAGGACTGGCTTTGGGTGTCATGGAGGGTGTGGTTGGTGGTGGTGAGAATGAACGCTGACCCAGATGACGATGATTTAATAAAGAGAGCTCAGGCACAGTCCAACACAGGCAGCACGGCAGAGAGTTAGCACACAGCTAATTACTGGTAGCAACTGAAAAACTGAGGACTGAAAAAGAAAGCTAAACCAACACAGGACTTTACAGTACAACTGTAATGGCAGGCAGACAGACGACAAATGACATACGACATACATTTGACAAGAGACAAAGACAACAGGTGGGACTAAATACACAGAGAGGGTAATCAAGGAATGAGACACACCTGGGAAGCAATCAATGGAGAAGACGCAGAAACAACAGACCTGGGACAGCAACAGAACACAGAAAAACCTTAATATAAATACACAGAAACACGGATCATGACATTGGGTACCACTGATTTAGTTCAACAGGTACAAAATAAAAAGAACACCAGATAAAATTCCACCTTGTCTGACTCCATTAGATACAGATAAAGGTTCAGAAACCTTCGAATTACATTTAACTTGTACAGACTGATGAGGATACCAATAATGTAATATCCTGATTAAATATGCAGGGATGTCTTTACTTTGCAGTTTAACAAATAACTTATGGTGGTTAACTCTGTCAAAAGCTTTAGATGCAACCACAAAACATAAAAACATAAGTATTCTGTCTCATATTTACTTACTTCTTTCAATTAATAAATACATAAATCATTCACTAGCAAGGACCACGCCACAAAGATGTACATTTGAAGAGATATTGATGAAGGGGTGAGGGATAAAAGGATGAGGGATGAGGGATGTAGGGATTGGGGATAAAGGGAAGTAGGATGTAGAGATGAGGGATGAAGGGATGTAAGGATGTAGGGATGAAGGAATGAAAGGATAAAGGTTGAAGGGATGAATGATCTTGATTTGGTCATCTGGGGAGAATGATGGAGGGCTTGGGAGGTGAAGACTCTGGGTGGGGGTTTGGTCTTCGGGAAACGGAGCTTCTTATTTTCCCAAGCCCGCATAGGACCCCCCAAAGAGTCTGATTTAAATAGAACAGATGAGAGAAAGAGCTTGTCATGAATCACTGAGATTTTTGTGAATGCATGAACTGTACGCTGGGGATAACCAGCAACTTAAACTTGAATCATCTTATCAGAGATGAAGGGACGGAGGGATGAAGGGATGAGAGATGATCTGACTGAATGCTGAAGAGGCGGCTCCTATGCAGACGTGTTTAATGTGTGTTGCAGAACGGGCTCAAAGTGGATGTGTGAGAGGAGCAGGAGGTTTCCTCGTCTATTTGATGAGCTTGTTGGCTCTTGTGTTTGCTTCGTCGATGCGAAGTTTATTCATGTCCGCCTTATCGTTGATGCGATATGAGAATGGGTGGAATAAAGTTTGAGAGAGATGCCTGATCTTAACTGAGATGACTGGAGATCCATGCTCAAGTGGCTAGTTTTCAGGATTCTGAGATGCGGTGTGGACCTTCAGATGAAATGCTTGCTGAAATTCTGGTCTGAAAATAAAGACTGGCTCATAGGGGTTGAGGATGGAGTTGGGATGGAAGAGAAGAAAAGGATGAGAGCTGATCAGTTGACTTGTCTGAAGAAAAAAGTTATGACTGTGAATGGTGATATCTGAAAAGCATAAATGAATGAAGCATTGTGTTTGAGGAGCTAGAACTACAGGGGAGTAGGCTGGATTAATATCCAGCCTACTTGAAGAAGATAGTGAAGCTGGAGTTGGATGAGTTACTGAATCTGGAGCAAAGAGTCAGAATTTTTGAAGAAAGCAATACAACGACAGTGATGCTCTGAGTTACTGGAATGTGAGCTGCTCGAAGCAGGAACTGATGCTAGACTGAGACCAGAGTGAGTCTAAATAAACAAGAGTAGACTTCTTATGCCATTCATGTCCCCAAAGTTTTGCTGCAAAAATGATGGGGTAAGTTTGAAAAGTGCAAGAGAAATGAACTCTTGAGGCCATTTTGGCTTCACCATTTACCTCTGGAATAGCCACCAAGTCTATAAAGGGAGTTGCATTTGTGTAGAGTTGAAAGTGCTAGGGAGTCATTGTGAGGAAAAACATGCCCTTGCAGTAGTGATCAAGGATGAATGAGTCTTGAACAGAAGGGATGCTGGCTGCTTTTTGGTGGAATATTAGGAATGCAAGATTTCTCTGAGGAATGATACAAATTGCATGGTTCACAAAATCAAGAAATGTAAGCAACTGTTATTTGAAACATCTATCAGTGGGTAAAATTAAAAAGAGAGCAAAGTGATTTGATTGATCTTTCAGGGCTACATGACGAACGAAAGGGAGGAAAGCTATGAAGTAAAAGCTCTTTTCCAGAACATGTCTATGAGAGCCAGAAAGTCTGGCTGAATGAGGAGTACTTTGAAGATGTCTCCTTTGCAGAGCCCAGCCCCTTGGTCTGCTAAGCGAATGATTTGAATGGTCTTATCGAATCCTTCTGTGACGTCTTTGGCTATAAATGAGTCAGCTGTGCCAGGACCAGAAGGAGCGAACTGAAAATAGAGACAGTGATAAGTGGAATTTGGAATATCTATGCCCGAGTGAAAATCATGAATGAGTCCGTCAACGAGAAAGTTAAACTCCCTATTGGAATGGTGTTTAAGGGCAGGAATGAGAGCATTCACCTTGATTTAGAGTAAAGATATCGTTTTAGTAAATTTACAGTGGAAGTAGGATTGTGAGGTCAGAATATCCTTGCATAGACACCGTCACAAATTAGCTGGCATGCAGCAGTTTGTGGCTGGAGACTGAACTGCCAAGATCGTTGAAATTATTGCAGATCATTTTGTCCTTCTGGTACAGGATGGCACAGCTTCATTTGTCGGCACCCTCAGAAAATTGGTGAGTTTACAAGAGGGTTGATATCTGAGGTTTGGGTTGATATGAAGGTGAGAGGCAGTGGGAGACTGCCAATCAGAGGCTGAAGAAGTGTGAGATGAGGAATGAGGATGAAGAGGGAGAGTAATTGAACAAGTAGATGTAGCACCGCAGAAACTACAAGAAAGATGCGCAGGCAGCAAATTGCAGCAGTTATTCGTGTTAAGGAAAATCCAGAATGTCCCCTGATTAAATTGTTGAATGGCCTACTACCTGAGCTGCAAAAAGAATGTGACATTGATGGAAGCCTGAGTCTCCACATCAGAGAGCCATGTCAAGAATGATGGAGAGTTAGTCATCGAATTCAGAGCTGGGAAATGAATATTAGAGTGTATGGAATTCTTACTGAGGAAGCCAATAATCTTCGAGGTTGCATTGGTTGCTTCGGTGTTGTGCATTTTCTATAATTCTATTGTTGAGAGCGTCGTCTCTTCTGCCGTAATCTGCTGGGGCAGCAGCATCAGAGCCAGGGACCTAAAAGGTTTGACCGCCTGATAAAGAAGACTGGTACTGTTCTGTAGATGACTAAATCAGACAGCTGCGGCTGATCCAGAATTCTGCTGCTGGTGTTTGGCTAAAGTCTGGAAGGTAGCGCGCATCCCTATAGTTCTAAAATCCCTGCACTGGGTCCCTGTAGCTCAGAGAATAGACTATAAAATATTGTTGTTAATTTATAAATCACTGAATGGCTTAGAACTACAATAAGTAAAGATTTGCTGTTGTATTGACCTTCCTGACTTTTTGGGTCTTCTGATTGCGGACTGTTCTGCGTTCACCACCAAACATGGAGAAGTGGCCTTCTGCTGCTATCCACCACGAATGTGGAACAATTTTCAGAAATCTATCGGAAGACTATTGAAACACTGAATTCCTTTAAATTCAGACTTAACACACCTATTTAGGGTTTCTGTTGAAACATTGTAAATGGTGTGTAATACTGCCACAAAACAAAATGTTATATTCCAATTGTTAACTGTGTTTTTTAGAAATGCATTTAGTTTGTTTTTGTTTTTTTAACGTAATGTAAAGCGCTTTTGAACTGCCTTGTTTGCTGAAATGTACCAGAACTTGATGAATTGACTGTGGAACTTCTGGAGATGATTACGTAAATAAATATTCTTCATAAATCAAGAAAATTATGAACAACATCTTATTCATGAGACTGATTTGGGAAAGCAGAGCATCTTCGGTCAGAGGTTTCTTCTAATTCTGTGTAGAACGGGTCGCTGCGGAAGATTTTTCCTGGCAACAGCCATCCATATCATTTAGAATTTGATGGCAAAATTAAGGTAAAATGGAAGGATGTTATGTTGTGTTATTGCATGAAAGGGACAGAAGGGGGAGCTCTGATTATGTATGTTAAAAAGATGTTTGTGAAGCTTGGGAGGATAGGGATGAAACAGACAAGAGCTTTGAAGCTCAAACAGAGAGGATGCGGGCAGATAGTGTAATACAACCTGGCTCCCACTAGGGGAGCTATCGGTACGAGTAGAAGTCCGGAATCGGTGCGAGAGGAGGCGGAAATGACGTCACCAGAGACACTGGAGGAGGAAGCAGACACTGGGAAAGAAACGGAAGCACGTTATGTTTGGATTTCGGTGGTGGTGCTGTTGACTGTTGAGTTTCTGAGGAGGAACGCTGAGATGTGGATATGTTGGTAGTGCTTGGCTGAGAGACTCTGGAAGTTCGCGGTGATCCGGGAGGAGCCTGACGCTCCGATGGAGGTCGACTCGCCGGCATCGGAATGACGTCACCGGAGATGTTGGAGGAGGAAACAGACGTTGTTGTCTGCATAGACATAAGAATAAACCCCGCATAGACCGCTCTCGCCTATTGTAGTTGACCAGCTTTAGGGCGGCCATCTTGGAGCGGTCGACCTGTCCACTCAGCTTTATATGTTTGCAGGCACAATGACATATCAGCGCATTTAATCGATCATAACACGCATTTTTGTTACTGAAACCCTTATTCAAACAGCTATCAAAGCTACATTTATAAAGAATTGTATTTTTAAATTTTTTTTTTATGTATTGATACATAGTTCAGCATATTGGAATATGCTTAGTGGGGAAAACAATAGAATAGGAATAGAATATCCTGATATTGATGTAATATTGATGCATGATGAGCATTTTACAAAGCACACAGCTGTTCATAATTAATTTAATAAATGATTTAGTAATATCAATACATATTTATATAAGTATACAAACACAAATAAATAATGATTAATAATGACACAAATAAATAATGATTAATACTGAATAATATATATTGAATACATATTTATATGTATGTATGTATGTGTGTACATATATATATATATATATATATATATATA